AAAAAATACAACTTTGAATTATTTATAAATTAAAACAATTATAATAAATAGATTTACTCATCATAAATTATAAATAAATATATATTAAATTATAACTCATCACAAAGGAAAAAATTGTTTTATATATAATACATCATTTTTTGTCCAAAGGGTTCAGATGTGTATAAAATAATATAAAACAGAAATGATGTGCAAATTTTATAAAATATTTTTCGTGACGATTGTATTTAATTTAAAACCATTTTCAGAAAAAAAACATATAAAATCAGTAGATAAAAGTTGTCTTTTTAAAAAAAATAATTGATTTATGTTTTAAAAAACGGGAATTAGGTAAAAATGAAAAAATGGTAAATTAACATTGTTGACATTATGAAAAGTAAATAACATAATTATACAAAGTTGTTAAAAATTTGAAAATATTATCATTTATTAGTGGTGATGATAAATAATAAATTTTGTTTTTTTTAATTAAAAATCCGATTAATTATGGCATTAAATTTTTAAGTAAAGATGTGATTTATAAAAACTAAAAAGCAAAATAACAAAAAAATAATAATATTTTTTATTTTATCTTTTAGCATTGATTTTTTGGTTGTTATAGCAGATCTTTTAAATGTTATTTCAGATCTCGAGATTTTGTAGATTAGTTGTAAAAAATTTTAATCTTAGCAAAGCAATTTTTTGTGTTAAAAAACAGGCAAATAGCAAATATTTTGTCAACGGTTGCTCATTATAAAAAAGACGTATTTTAATATATTAAAGTTATATTAATTAAACCATTTAAACTTGAAAACGACTTATAATTATGCTAACTGATTGCGTTCGAGTTGTTGAATTAAATCGTCAGCTTCGCGCCAAATAGATGAATCAAAAACAATTGATGTTATGATGCCAAAATCTTCATAATCCCTTTGTTGAATTGTTGTATTTGTTTTGTTTTTTACAGTAAATTCTTTCTTTTCACCTGTTATTGTAGGTACTTCATAAATAACAGGATTTTCATCTTTTTTTGGTTGAACAAATGGTGGTGACCCACTTTCTGTTAATTTTGTTTTCTCTTGTTCTTTAGAAGTATTTGGCAACCTGTTGCTTTTTAATGGAACTTTTTGTTCGACATTTTTTTGTTGAACATTTTGTGGTTCTTTACCTGTGTTAGCAGTTTGTTTTGATTTCAGAAGTGATCTGAAGTCGATTTGTTTATTTTCTTCTTGTTTAACTGGTTTTGAAACGGATATTGTATTTCTTCTTATGTTAAGAAGTTTTGGCGCTTCGAATTGTTTTTCTTTTTCATTAATTTTATCTGGTGGTGTTTGTTGAACTATTTTTTTGGTTTGTGCACTTGAAAGTGGATTTGTATCATTTTGATTAACTTCTTGCTCTTTTTGAACGGGTTTTGATACTGAGACTGATTTTCTTAAAGGTTTTTGGGTTGGGTCAAAATTTCCAAAAAGGGAAGCGCCTCTAGGACGAACAATTTTTGGTTTTTGTTCCTCTTCAACAACAACATTATCATTGATTGTGTTTTCAACAATTTCTTGTTGTGCTCCAACAAATTTGTATCTATCAGAAACACTCTTTGATGCAGAGTGTTGACTTTTTCTTAATGTACGACGTGGTGCTGCAATAAGAGGGGTTTCATTTTCTTCAGTCATAACTAATTATTTATTTGAAAAATTGAAATGATTTATATGGGGTAAAAATGAACTTATATTTTTAAAAAAAAATTGAATGAATTTTATTATTTTTAAGTTATATATCAGAACAAAAAATTAAACTATTGATTAATAAATATTTTTTTTATATATAGTCTGATAAAGATATCCAAATATAAAATGATTATGGTTATATTAAATAAAAATTCAAATACAGTATAATCCGGGTTTAATTCACTTAAAATATTTTGGAACTATCGGGTATAATTCCACTTTTTTCAAGAAAATTTTTTTAAATGATTTTTAAATCAAAAATAATTGATGGAATTAACTTTCGGTAGTTTCATAGTTATAGTTATTTAATAATTATTTGATTCAATCAAAAACAAATGATGATGGTAAAGGCTTTTTCACCGTTTCTAAAAATAAAGTTTTTTTTACTATTTAATATAATATTTTAATTAAAATTATAGTAAATGGGAACTTGGGATAATAGTTGGTCTGGTTCCCGAATTAAAAATGTGTCGATAATTCACCTCGAAACAGTGGAAACCGAGTGAGATGATAATCGAAAAGAAGGCACAGGCGGTCTGTTTGTGCACCCGTTCCACATACTCTCAATGTCCTCCTTGGCACAGATCCGAATAAACGCCCCGTTTGAAAAGGGAACCACATCAGCTTCCAAATTACGGAGGAGGAAAGTGGGTGACATGGGGACGCACAAACAGTGACTTAAAGGTGGACTTCTTTCAAAAAACACTCGCGGCAAATACTTTGTTAAGGTGGTGGTGAAACAAGTCTGTTTAAATAAATAAAAACGAATAAAAACTAAAGTTTATTATGTTCGTTTTTATTTATTAATTATTTTATAATAAGTAATTCATAATATTATAGTACCTAAAAATAGTTTCAGAAACAAAAATAATGCATTTTTATTCAAAAACAAATATTCTGATTAATTTAGGTGAAAACCCAATTATTTTACATAAATTTAAACAAAAAAACAAGACTATGATAATAAAACTCAAAAGTGTTGTTTTTATTATTTTTTCTTACTTCGGGTTTAATTATTTTTGAATGAATTAAATTCGATTATTTAATTAAACCCGGACTGGAATTAAACCCGGATTATACTGTATCATCCAAAGTTTATTTATCACAGAGTAACTGAAAGCATTTTAATTAAAAAATGTTTTTCAGAACATTCGTTTGTCTTTTTATTTACGTCTTAAATTATTTGTTAGTTGAACAAATAATATTAACTTTTCTTTTTATTAAACTTAATTTTAATAAAATGATAATTAATTTAATTTTTATTATAGTTTTTAAAATGTTATATATTTTTTAATTGTTTGTAGTAAATAAACAACATTAAATATAGTAAATATTAATAGTATATAAATATTAAGAATAAAAACTATAAAATAATGTTATTTTTGTATTAAAATTATTTTACTATTATAAATAAAGAAATTTTAATAATATTGAATTATTATTTATCATAGTAAAACTATATTAATATTTATATTATTGAGTTTATTATAATAATAATAATAACAATAATTTGAATTTACTAACTAAAAAAATTATAATATAGTCACCCGCTAAAAGGTATAAATTTCCGACAAATGGTCTAAAGAAACCATATTATAGTTTTTTGAAATTATGATTTTAGATTGTGTTTCAATTTGACATTAATTTCTTTATATCGAAAGTATTTCAAAATAAACTAAAATTTTACTAAATTATAATACATTGTCAAAAATAGTTTAAAGGTGAACTGAAAAACAATTTTAATGAATAATGCCGTACATGTGCATTTATTTGGACAATACCAAAAAACCAAACCTGCAACTGGGATGGGTTTTGACAATTCAACCAATTCTTTAGATGTATCAGATTCATTGTGTTGCTCACTCAAAATAACATAACCTTTGTTAGCTTAACTCCGTATGCTTCTCATTTTCTTCAAGTTCTTGATTTGGGGATATTTGGTGGGCTTAAAAGTAGAATGTCTTCTTTTAAAGCGAAAGACGGTTTTGTAAATTTGCTTTTTCAAGAAGAAGTCGAGAAGGAAAATGTGGATGGTAATTTGTTTTAGAAAAAACATTTTTTCACATTATTGAACTCGGAAACAGACTAATAGTTAATGATATTGGTGGATTCTTTATTTGTGGTTACAACACCTCTTTTTAATATTATTGCTTTTAAACAAGCTGTCATAGTCAACTAGATTGACAAAACACCCCAAAGTGTCATGTATTAATTGATTGCCGTTATCTTTTAAACCAATTAAAAAGCTTGACAAAAATTGATTTAATGTGATTTTTTTGTTTTTTGTTTTTTAATGTTATTTGTGTTATTTTCACTGTTTTTTACAATTATAGTTTAAAATAATAAATTATAGTTTCTTTAGACCATTTGTCGTGTTTTTATTGCTTTTAGCGGGTGACTATACAAATAAATAAAATTCTAATAATAAAACAAATTAGTTTTAATTTATAGAACAAGATATTGTAATAAAAAACCTAACAAAACCTAAAAGACTACAAGACTAACAGAAGCGATTATGTTCAACAAACACGTCACCTATTATGTTCGTTTCACCGGGTTTAGTTTAAACACTACTGACGAAGAAATCAAAAAAGTCGTAGCACCATATGAGATATTAACATTTGACATCCCACGGTTCAAAAAGGACACTCCACTCACGAAATACATCATCGAAACAAAAACCCCAGAAGACGCGTTGAAAACAATTGAAAAGAAAAACAAAGCCCCATGGGAAGACCGAAAGATCACTGTTGAACTCGACATCGAAGACAAGACTCAAACTACAGCAATTGCTCGAGGCTTTCCATTTGGCAAAGAAGTCCCACAAATCACCAAATTCTTTAGTGACTGCCCCGTTGAAAAAGTGTTACAGAAAGTCGCTAAGAAAGGCGAATTGTGTGGAAATGTAATGGTTGGTGTTAGAAATATTGAAATAGCAAAAAAGATAGTAACCGACTTAGACAACAAACCTTTTAAAAATGTCACTCTGAGAACAAAAGTCTTGGACATCGCCAAAAAGAACGTCGCGACATGTTTTGTATGTGGGTCGTACGACCACAAATCTATGGACTGCCCCGAAAATAAAGACAAAGAGGTGGAGCAAAAGGAGAAGACCGAAAAGCACAAAAAGAATAGCAAAAAGGAAATGGAAGAAAAGAGTGACGATGAAAGTGGTTCAAAAAGTGATGAAGAAGAACACAGTGAAGAAAGTAGTGAGGAAAGCAGCGAAGAAAGCAAAGGTAAAATATATAAATCTGACAAACCAAAATTTAACAGGAACATTAAAGGCAATTTTAAAGGTGTTAAAAGAGACTTTAAAAATGATAGAAACAAGGGAAAAGGACAAAGACGAGGAAAATAAAAGTGTCTGAGTATTGTAAAGACATTAATTGATTTTGGAGTTATAGACTTAGTCATATTGTTAAATAATATTCACGATATATATATTTATAATATTTTTTGAAATTTCTAGATAATGTATGATTTAAAAAATAAGTATAGATTTACTCGTTAAAAAATCGTATAAGTGTATAACAACAATTATAATAAAGTTACAAAAATTATATCTACAAGCATTTAAAACCCGATAATAATTATCGGGTCAACAACATCATTTTAGTCCAAATATTAATTCATAATTTTGTTATTTGTATTAATAAAAATGCTCCTTTGTCGCATCCATCTTTTTAATTTTTTCATTTTATTAAAAAACAATCTACTTTTATTATTTTTAAATTATAATTATAATAACAGTTTTCACTTTAAATACAAGGTGATAAAATATGTTTTCAATAGTACATAATAAGATAGAGACACTCATCACAATGAATAAAAATTATATGTATTTATAAAGTTTATACACGACACACGAATTAAATTTTTAACACTCTTTTGTTGTTCTAGTGTTTACTTACACAGCTTTATTACTGGTCAATATTAAAAATTGACTATTATTTGATATGAAGTTATTATTATCTTGATGTACATGTTACAATCTATTGCCGACATGTGTTGTTTATCCATTTTTAAATATCTTTTTTTTATAAAATGCTTGTCACTTACATTACATATACACATCAACTTATTTTAAACATTCATTCTAATTTACATAATGTGTGTTTTTTGTACAAAATCATTTATCATATATTGTTTGGCTTGTTAAACCAAACACAATCCGTTTGTATTATAGACTCAGTATCTTAGTCTGCACGCAAAAATAACATTCAACAACTTCTTTATATCTTTGGTGTTGTCTTTCTAAAATTTTTGTGTTTGTTCTACAATTGTTTTTGTTTATTATCGATTTGATATACTGTCTAACATATTTTATTAATTATTTATCAAGACCTCCATTATTTTCAACTGTTAATGTTTTTTATGTTTTTATCACACCTTATCGAAAGATGATACATATGTTAAACGTATAACATATTAAAGTATTAAAGTGTAAAAAAGTTTTCATTCTAACATTATTACTTCGAATACATTTTTATTTCTTATCAATAAATTTAACACTTTCACAACCCAAAACTTTTTTTAAGAAGAAAAATAAGTAAAAAGGAAATTGTCCAAATCATTTTTTGTTATTTTTCTTCAAAAACCTATTTCTAACCCAAACCAGCCAATAGTCAGTTTTATTTTTTTAAAAAAAATATTAACATTTAAGTACTCAATTACCTAAGATCCATCGAAAATAATCTTTTGTATGAAATTTTGTAAGAAATATTTCTAATGTTAATTCTTAACATAACAACACATCCCACATTGTCAATCCACCTGATAACAAAAAAAGAATTCATAATTACAATAAAAATAATTTCTCAAACACGTTTAGATTAAATGATAATATAGTTTAAAAAACAACAAAAAAAGTTTCAACCAAACAATTTAAAACCATCAATTAGACCCAATTCTTTTCTTTTTCTTGTCTTTCGCTCTTCTTTTTAACTCCCAACAGACTCGACAGAGCATTAAAGAATGAGACAAGCAAGTGGTTTCTCCACAACGCGAACAGAGTTCTTTTACCTTGCTCGCATTAGAACCAACGCAAAGGTGGCACTTTTGCTTTCGTAAAGCAAATTTTCTTTCATATTTTTTCTTTCTCTTTTTGTGAAGGGTTTGCTTCTTCCCACCAATCCAAAAGACCACAAGCAATAAACATGGTTCTTTTTTCTTTTGTTTTTTTTCATTCCATGTACAAGACGTTTTTTGATGTATTTTTCTGACAATTGTTTTGCCAATCGAATGAGAAAAGTGAAGTGGTCATTTTGGATCACATACCGAAACATCCCATAAGAATTAACCGTTGCACAATCCAGAATATTTTGAAAAACAACCATATTGTATCTCCGTTTTTTGTTTTTGTTGAATAATCTTGACATAAAAATTCTAATGTATCAACAGGTGTTTTTGTGTAAATATATAATACATTCATTTCTGATTTAGCCTTATTGGGGTCAATTATCAGGACATTTAGAGAATTTGTTGCAATTATCACAGTTTTAGTTTGTTTTTGAATTAAATGAAGTCAAAAGAATTGAATCCTGTTTCCAAAATCGAATATTTTGAGGATTGGTTTCTTTTTCATTATTTAATCAGGTTTTTTCCAATTCAATTTTTTCCAATTCAATTTTTGTTGTTTTTATATTTTGGATATTTTCACAGTCTTCTTTTTCCAAAATATCCATTTTCCCGATTTAGTTCGTTCTGTGATGCCAACATACCCATTTTTTAAATATAATATTTTCTCTATTTTCAAATTCTTCTAACTTTTTTGAAGTTTGTTTTTCCATTTTTGTCATATATTTCTCTTTTTCTTACATTGTATTCCTTTTTGACTCTAAAGGCGTGTTTGCACTTCGTTGATTCATTGTGTCTATGTACCCGATTTTTTGCGACTCAAGCGTATTAATTACTCATATTGAAGTAAAGTAGTTGTCGCTTTGTAGTAAAAATTCTATTTTAGGAGCATCTTTTGGAATTAAATTTTCGACTAATTTCATCACTACTGACTCTCCGTGATGCAATTCATCTTTTTCCCCGATTTCCGATTTTTTTTGCCTTCATACAAAGTCATTCCAACACAAAGTTTTTTGTCGTAAGTACAAACACAGTAAATTTTAAAGACATTTCACTTTTTACTTTCATAATGTTTAAACTGTTTTGTAAGATTTGTGACATCCGTTTCGGGCACTACACATAACTAGGCACTACATCAGTCAAGAATGTTCGGTTACTTAAAGTATATAAGATTTGAAGACATCGATATTGTCTTTGTTAATATTGGGAGTATAAACGCGGTAAGTGTGAGATTTATAATTAGTGCAGGTGTTTACTTTAAAAATTTTGATGATTTATATCAATGAGTCTTTTATAATGAGGATAATAATATCGAAAAGGATCCAAGGTTATACAACCGATGGTATATCTGCAAGACCACAAACCGAGACAAAATCGATGCTATTCAAAAGTTAATCAACATCATGGATTTACTTATTTAACTGTCAGCACCAGGGCTAAAAGTTGTAAAATGTTATTGGATCAAATCAAAAATACTAAGCCAATATTTATTTGTTGTGTAACTTAGTGCCATATATTTACACATACAAAACAATTTGAATTTTAAAAAATATGAAATAACCTTTGACAAATATATATATTTAATACGACCGAAGAGATTTTAAGATTTTTTAAGTCTAAACTATATCAAAGTAACATTAAAAATCAAAGTATGGTGGAAAAGAAATAAATTACCAGTACAACTCTTAATAGATGGATATGTCCCCAAATGATACTTCTGAATATATGAATTTTTCAACCTAATATATGGGCGATGTCTACAGAAATTAATAATTGTTTATGGGTAATTTATATGAAGATTTAATTATAATAAAAGACAAAGATGGTGTTGTTATTGCTTTTCATTTATTTTTTTAATATCGTTTTGGATGAAAGTGTTCTCAACTTAAGAAAAATTTAAGTACAAAAAGATATAATTAATAAATATATATATATTTTTTAAAACGTAATAACCATTAACACAATAAATAACATTAATAAAGTTAAAACCATTTGACCAATCATTTTGAAACAACTAGAAGTGAATAAATGAGGTTGACTAGGTGAAACAATTGAACAAAATAACAGGAAAATGTTTTTAACAAACTAAAAAGATAATTAAACATCTATTCTATTTACAATGAGTTAGATTATAGGCTGTTTAAAACAAGGTTTATTGTTCAAGTGTAAAAATTTAATTTAGAGCAAACCAATCTTTATTATACCCAAAAATAATTAATAATATATATACAGGTATAATAAAAACCCATCAAATTGTCTTAAACCCCTCAAGTTTCAAAGATCATTAATTAAGACGTCATCCCGAAGAAGTACGATATAAAATTGGACAATAAAAAGTGTTGTATAACAAAAATAAAAATCATAAAAAAATACATTTGGTTATAACTGTTCAAGACATGATCATAACGAGTCGAGTCTCGTGTAAAACTGTAAGAAGTGACATCGGAGAATAAGTTTCAAGAACGCGTTTGTGGAGTTGGCTTACAATCGTCATCCGATAATGTAGTTTTTAAATATAAAATATTTTTTTTTCTGGTTTCGACCAATCAATTGACGACTTGAGGAATTTTAGAAAATTATTGGGTTTACCGACCTTTATATATACAGTACTGGAAAAAACTTGTCGTGACTGGGATAGATCTATAATTTTGCTATAATAAAATTATTTTTATAGAATTTGTCATTTATAATTGCTGAATTATTTTTGTAATTGTCTTTTTTTAACCAATCAAATAAAAGCTGGTTATTATGGAAGATATTCTCGAATTGTTCAGAGAAAAAAAGAAGAAATTGTGAATATTAGAGTAACTGGCGCAAATGAAAGAAGTGAAACGGACGAAAGAAATGACCCGTCACGAGTGTCGACAATATTTGACACCCCAACCAAAATATCAAATTTTTGGAAGACACGGATTTCCCATTTTTTTCATATTAAAAGTCATTTATGCGCTGATGAGAGAGGAAGACAATAATTCGAAAATGCCAAATTACAGACAATGAAACCACATGTTACAACAGTTCGTTGAATTCTTCTTCACAAATGGACAAATTTCAAAATTTGAAAAACAATGAAGGAATCGAAGGAAAGCGCGAGAGTGTACCTGTTTTCCAGAAACTTATGGCAGCAATGTCAACGTATTTTGAGAAGTTGGAAACTATTTACCTTTCAGCCTCGACAAGTCTCCAATAAGCAACAAACACGTTGAACGATAGAGACACCACACGACTAAAACTAGTCAATGTTGCCATAAAATATGGATGGTTCTTCTTTTCTATTTTTATAAAGTCTTTGGTTCTTTATTTGGAAGAAAATAAAATCGACAATTTTTAAACCGCATTGAAAGAATTCGCAAATTATTCACCGATCCAATCTTTTCCGACTTCAACGCAAATTTGATCAAAGTATCGCAACACCTCGCGAGTCTTGTCTGTCGTCGTATTAGTGAAACGTTTTTGAATCGTATCGTGTCTTCTTTTTAAATAGTGATGATACACTTTATAATGTCGAGTTGTGCAGATTTTATGACCCATCACAGGCACTTGCTTCTTTTTCATCGTATTTGAACGTTCTCTCCCAAATGTTGGACGTCAAAACAAAGACGGTTTTCACTCCAACAGACTCGACAACACTTCAATTGCCATTAATTGATTTCTTGACGTACCTTACAAAGCGCGAGAACTTTGCTGGCAGACGGCCAATTTACTCAAAGTTGACGTTCTCTGTCTCATCTTTTCTTATCAATATTTCTTTGAGATGATCATTCCAATTTCTATGAATAGTGACAATATCAAGACCGTGGAAACACTTAAAATTGAAATCAACGAGCGTCATATCTTTGCCAATTTTGTTGTTGAAAATATTTTGTCGTCGTTGGAGATGGATGAACCCGTTTCTGCAGAAGCGAAATATTCCATTTTGATTCTTTTGTGTCGAATTGACGAGGAGAAAAGAAATGAAAACAAGAAGGAAGAGGCAGCACAACTGTTTTCACCATTTTAATAAAAAATGTGCGGAATTACAAACATATGGAAACAAACTGGGAAAAGCAGAAAGTAGGGAGTCTCCCATTTTACATGATCATCATTTGGCTACTCAAATCCATCAATTTGCAATTGATCAAAAAGTATTTTACTATTGAAGAGAGCAGCAAATTTCATTTGATTGTTGTCAAACGCCAAATGTGTTTTTGAGACGTCCATTCACTTCTCAACATATATATATATATATATATGTTCGTGGAAGACGTTCACCACTGGTGACATATTTAACTCTGTTCCACGGATACTTAAATCCTTAATCTAAAATTGGTCTTTGCCATATGAAACACTCGTACATACACACTCCAAACGAATATATATCGGCCGTTTTTTTATTTGAACTTAAGACGTACTTTTGGAGCCATATAAATAGGATTACCAACATAATTAGTACTTTAGTTTGAATGTCATATTTTCCATCAAACTGCTGATATTTCGACTCGATCCAAAGTCCGTCAGTTTGCCGTTTACAGTGACGTTCTCTTCAAACGAAAAAATGTTATCCGGCTTTATGTTTAGATGGAAGATCCCATTAATGTGTACATACAAAATCCCTCTTGAAACATCTAAATACGTGTCTTTGTCTTGATTTTGTTTGTTATAGGCGACTTTTTACTGTTCTCCATGAACCCTGGTGGAGACTCCCTAAATCAGCGTATTCGGTCACAATGCAAATTTTTGTAGTAACAAAAACAGCACCATTGAAGTGCACTACATACGCGTTTCTGAATTTGTCCAACATCACAATTTCCTTCTCAAATTCGTCGATTATGTCAAGCAAATTTGTTTGCTTATTCATCCTTTTGATTGCAACGGTATTGTACAATCAGTATATTTTATATATAAATATAAATTTATATATTTATATATAAGAAAGTCCATTTATAAACGATACCAAACCCACCAACACCCAAATAACTCTCTTCTTTGATTTTTGAATAGTCGAGACTGATAGTAACTTCCGTCATGATTTCCATGCTCAGCGTTTCAATTGTTCGTTTCCCATTAAAAGAGTTGTCGACGACAATTTGCAGTTTGTCTTGAATGTGTGTCGAGCAAAGTGGCTTAATTGATATTTCGACTTTGCACCCTTCTTGTCGCTTCAAAACGACTTTGTCGGGGTGAAAAGGATTTCGTACTTCTTTGAAGTAACCATCTCTGACACGATCGAGATGATCATTGTGTGGCAATTTTTAAATTGCCAAATGAAATGTTTTGCTTTGAAAATTCATTGACTGGAATGGGTTTGCTGTCACTTCCAAATGTCAAGAGTGAGGTGCTCACTCCCACCGAACTGCGTTTAAAGAAGTTCCATTTCTTGTTTGTTTTTGCAGCATCGAAAATCACCATGTTTTCAAGAACAGTCATATTCTGAGTCATTTGAACGACTTTTTGAATTGATTTATTAAGAACAAATGCAGCAAGTAATGAGATGGGTGTGATAAATGGTGGTATATGTGATAACTATAAATAAAAGGACCCACCACACTGGACTATTCTCGCATTGATTGAGCTGTTCAGAACCCACTTAATGCCAAAAAGAACATTTAGTACAAAATTCGCCATTTGTTTCAACACAGAAAGCGACATTCGAGTAGTTCACACATTTACTTTCTGAGAGATAGAAATTGGTCTGACACTTTTTACACCGATACGAATATTTATCACACACCGCACAATGTTCAGAAATGGAGACGCATGGAACACACTGCATGTTGTTTATAAGGGTATATCCATCGTCACACATCTCACGCCCATAATCACAACAATACCAATAACAACAGATCCTTTTAAGTGTGTTGTCTTTTTAATGAAACGTATTCACGTCAGTGAATACGTTTCATTGACAAAATAATTGGTGAAGCACTTTAAACACTCCAAATCACTCAAACACTTTGAACAAGGAATTTAGACACAAAAGATATGACCCATTCAAGAGAAAGTGTTATGTTTTACAGACAACACAATGATTTATGTTATTCATTAAAGCTAATGCGCAGTGTGGGGATTTGTTAATCAAAGTAAACTGTTTTTTTAACAATACATATAAAAAAAGTATTATAAAATTTGAGAACATTCAAATATAATATCATTCATTTGCTAATGTTTCACATTTAAATTCTCTTACTTTCCGCTTAAACAACATATACATTTTAAACATCACTTTTATTTTTGAAGTCACAACAGTGATTTTTTTCAACCACAACTAAATGTCTGTTTATTAATTTGGACGGTCTTATTTTAACAATCATTATCTTTAAAAATGTAATTATTAATTTAAATATTTGTGGTTCATTTTTTGTTTGTTCTTATCTCCTCATAAAATTTCTTTTCCATTATTTTTTTGTTTGAGACATTTGATTTACCAAAGCTTTATGTTTTCTTCGACTTAATAAAAGCTTTAGTCATTTATAATACATTATTAACCTAATAAAGTTATTAGATCAAGAGAATATTACAGAATTTATGTCCATTTGTTATAATTGAAAAATTAGTTATTCAGTAAATTAAAATGCTGAAAATTGTATCCACAAAAAACAGTCTGTTATTATATCTCACTTTTAAAAATATTTTATAACAAAGATATATATAGATAATTCTTTTAATGATAAACATTACTATACAATTAACTACATCCACTTATTTATATCTTCAAACCTATTTATATCAACATAATTATCAGAAAAACATCACTTCCCTCCTTCAATATTTTGCAGGACATACTTGTCGTCCAGTTTATGTTCCTTTTTAACTTTCTGTGGTGATCTAGTGACACTAGTTCCCCACACCAACGCCTATATCATTTGTCCTACAAGTTGTTTATAAATTTTAAAGCAAATATTCTCTACTGTTGCCTTCTTTGCTGGGATTACAATAACGTCTTTAAAGTTCGGAAATTCTTCTGGGACTTTTGTATACGCTCTAATTAGATTTAGTTGTTTCCAATTTTGTTTTCTGAGTGCTACTATACCTTCTTCAGTCATTGCATAGATACACGCAAAATACGGTTCTGTTTTTAGTCTGTCTACGTCTTCTTTATTCATTTGGTCGATCTTATTCACCACATAAATGCATGGAATGTACTTACAACTCTGGTCAATAGCACCAATCAGATCTTGGACTGACACGTCGCAGTCACAATAAACGTCCGCGTTCAATATTTTGTACTCTTTTAATGTCAATCGGACCTTCTCTTGTATCAAACATGTCTGTGGAATTGATGGTGTAAATGACACCGAACCCGCCGTTTTATTCACTATTTTGATCTTCGGTGGCCGTTTGTTCAATCGAATTTCAAAGCCCTCTAACTCATATTCAATCTTTTCCTTTAGGTCAGGTGACTTCGTCCCACAATTAAAAGCATTATACAATCACACTTACTTGCTATGGAGATGACTTGTCGTTATCGCCCTTTTCCATCTTTGGATCCTTCAATACCAGGAAGATCAAGGAACTGGACTTTCGAACCATTGTAATTTAAAACACCTGGAATGCACTTTAATGTTGTAAATCCATATGCAGCGGCCTAAGACTCTTTGGATTAATTTATAGTTTAAATATAATTTAATATAGTAGGTTTAAATGGTATAATAATATAATACGTTTTAGTATAGAGTGTTTTTTATAGTATAGTAAAATATAGTAAAATTAATAAAATACATAGAAATAAATATAAAATGCATTATTCGTGTAATCACAAGTGTAATTTGTTATTTTGAACATATCTGACCAATTTTCTATCGCCCGCCAAAATCAAAAAGCTATTTGTGACTTACAATGTTTACAAATAAGGCATGTACATTGTCAATACAAGAAGAGGCAATTTTTGAACCAAGTCAACATCTTTATTGGGTTTCCAAACATTTTAAATCTCAAACTCTTTGTTAGAGCAAAGAAAATCACAAAAAATGATCAAAGGCACAGACTTTGTAGAGAAGAAGGAAATTACACCAGACAACATTATCTGAGACGATAAACACGCCAGAAATTTTTACACAAGAACAACAGACTTTACAATGCAAACCATAAAAACCAAGTCAATAGAGACACAAATTTGACGTGGCAACAGGTCGATAATATTGTAGAGTATGACATAACGGAGGTGATAGTTAAATTTTATTTATAACAAACTCAATGTAATTCATTTGTATATAAAAATGTTTAAATCATATATTATATAAACAACTTGATATACATGATAACTTATTTTGTTTTATATTTTTTTAATATTTGATGTCCATTTACCAACTATTAAAACGAAATTAATTCTATTGGTTTCTCATATTAAGAATTACAAATAGAGTTTGTTGTAAAACGTTGTTCTTTTTTTATCAATTTATACACAAATAATTGTTTTAAAACCCGGTAATTAGGTAAAAAATGAAAAAATTTGGAAAAAACTAAAACAACAATTTTTTATTATTCAACATGACCCCGATATTTTCCAATATTTATTTACCAAAAAGCCAAGGATAACGTTTACGACTAACTCTATTAAAATCAATTTACTTAAGTATTATTTACAGTTTTTTTAAAAATACTTTAAATTCGATTAACAAGATAGCGAAAGAATCTCTGACCAAAAACAGCAAAATTATTTTTAAATTTTTTTGATCTTTAAATGTATCTTTTTTACCAATTTAAAAAATTTGTATTCTTCCGTAATTGATTTTGAAATGCCTTTTGAAAAAAAATATAATTACAGTTGGTGTGTAAACTTTTAATCAAAAATATTAATAACCAAACTTACAGGGGTTTTAAGTTTGGTTAATATAATAAAATGTATAGTACTGTTTATCCTGAACGCAGAATATGCCTCGTGGAGACTTTTTCTGTCCGAGGTGGTAATTTGAATCATACTTTTTATTATAATGTTATTGATTATAACTATTAAATCGATAGGAAGCAGTTAAAATAACGGAAGTGGTTTTTTCCTCCCTGTAATTTTTTTACGATTTGAGCTTTTATTAAACAAAAAACTTGATTGTGTCAACCAAAAAATTATCGATTAAAGCAAAAGTAAATTCAAATAACCAACGTTTTTTAATTAATATTTTCAAAACATTTAATAACTAAATTCATCAATTTCGTTGGAAGATGTTGTCTATAGTTTTTTTGGTTTTATTTAATTGTAAAATGTCGGGATTCTGCTTGAGATAAAACAAAACTCTTTTAAGTTTTTTTTTCAAAATATTTTAACTTGATTCCTGTTTTTTAAACCTTAAAATGTGTATTATTTCATAGATAAAACTACATTGGTGATTAAGATAACGTTTTATAATAAACCTAGTTAGTTTTTGAAATTACATTTTTTATAATCTAAATATCAAATAAGTTCAACCAGATTTTAATGTTTTGGGTTCTTTTTGTAACATTTGCAGTGGGCATTCGGTTATGTTCAAGACAATCCGAAGTCTACTGCGTTCAAGACGATATGACGTGTAATATCAATGACAACGAAATTATTACTCAAACGACTGGCGAATTAGTCTTTAATTACAAGACTATAACAAACATTAAATGTGCATTGACCAATGTGGTCACTTTTAAAAAATTTGGAATAAAGAATACAATCTATTTTAATAATAAACAGGACACTTTTTATAAAAACGAGACACTCAAAGGAGCACCAACAACAACACAATTTTGTGATGATCATACACAAAATCATTGTTTAAAATGTGTGGACGGAACTCCATCATGTGGGATGTGTATGCCAAGTTATTGTTTATATAATACTGATAATGTCATATCTTGTGTATCTTGTAGTAGTACTCACACTTGTAACGATGGGCAATACATCACATCGACTTCTGAAGTTTCTTGCCAAACACCTACTTGTGCTACTTGTAATAATAATAATTAATGTTCACAATGTGCGGACGGGTTTTATAACTACCAAAATTCGGTGAATTGCGGGTTGAGTTGTTATTTGTGTGATTCGACTTGTGTTGGTGGATGTAATAGTTCGACTGGTGTTTGCGTTGGGTGCAAAACGGGTTACGTTAGACAAACGAGTGGGCCGGGGTGTGTTGAATGTGTCCAATTTGATTCTAATTGCCAATATTGTTCGTCTAATTTTACTCGACAATGCAAGGTATGTAAATCAAATTATTATTTAACTTCAGGAGGCACGTGCGACTTATGTGCAAACATCCATTGTGTAAACTATTATTGTTCTCAAGACAAGAAACACTGTACTCAATGTATGAATGGGTACTACCCTGACAGTGAAGGTGAATGTAATAAATGTGACACGCTACCAAATTGTTTTGAATGTGACCAAACAAAAGCTAAATGCACAAAATGTAAGACTGGATTTGGATTCTTTAATGGGAGTTGTGTTCAATGTAATTTAAACAAGGGCGCTATATTTGAAAATGAAACTTCCGAATGTAAAATGTGTTACTCATCCTTTGATAACTGCAAATTATGTCAAAAAACATCCACGAATGTGGAGTGTGTTGAATGCTCTCCTCCCTATTCTTGGGATTCGATTAGTAAGACTTGTAAGTTATGTATTGATGGGAATTATTATGATAAAACTACTAAAAACTGTGTATCAAATAACAACATTTGTACAATACAAAATAAAGAAGATGAATGTCTGACATGTAACAATAACTATTTTCTAAGAAACGGGAGTTGCATTCCTTTTGATAACTGTGAAGGCGATAACACACAAACAAGTAGTTCATGTGAATGTCAAGACACACTTGCGATCAACTCCAATTGTTATGTTTCTTCTGATGAGTCAACTTGTAAGTATGTCTTATTGAATGGATATGAGGACTTAAAGAAGTGTCTTTCTTGTAATGACAATTTTACATTGATGCAAAACAAAGTCTGTGGCAGACCTGATTACGAGTATAATTATATTAGAAATAATGCGAATTATACATGTGAAAGAGGGATGTATCTTTCAACTGAAAATGAATGTATGAACTGTGTTGATTCAAGTGTCTGCATTTCATTTAATAATAAAATTAAAATTCTTGAGTGTTCAAAGGACTTGGTACATTTGAGTGATTCACAACAAGCCGAGAGTTGTAAATCAGATGAAAAATGTACTACTTATGGTATCAATGAATGCCTTAATTGTTCTTCTAAAACCACTGACATAGTCAAAGGCGCATGTGTCACAAATCCAACAGCCAATTGTATCATTTCACTGAATTCTAAATGTATTTTGTGTGACAAAGAGACACTTCTTTCAGACGGAAATTGTATTTCCAAACTCAATTTTAATTGTTTACGAAATGTAATAGGTAAGTGCATTCAATGTATTGATAATTACTACAGAAGTACTATAAGTGATATATATTGTGAAAATACTTCTAAAATACCCAATTGCATCTATCAAATAATTTATTCCAACAACACAATGATATGTAAAGAGTGTTTACCAAATTATATGGTTTCGGATTCTAAATGTGTTCTAATAACTTCGACCAAATTAATTCAATCATCTTTTAAATATTCTGACTTGATTAAATGCAAGAAAATGAGTACCAAAGGGTGTTTAGAGTGTGAAGACACGTATTATTTGACTTTACAGAATACATGTGAAAAGTGTGATTCTTCATGTGTGAATTGTTCCAACACAACTTTGTGTATTTCATGTCCCTCTGGATTTTATTTGACAAGTGAACATACATGTAAAGAAGTTGGTTCATTACATAAGACGTGTGATATGTTAATGCCAAATGCTGTTGGCTGTGCGATCTGTAAAGTTGGGTATTACTACATTTTAAAAGACTGTAGACAATGTGAAACATCATGCTATTCCTGTTTAGACAACAAACAATGTGTGTCGTGTGCAGACAATTACTTCAGAATAGCAAATGAAACAAAGTTGTGTCTTCCATTCGACGAATTGACTCAATTTTGTCTTAAAAAGACCAAAAATGGGTGCGTCAGTTGTCAAACGGGGTATTTCCTCTCAAATGGTCGATGTTCAAAGTGTTTAGAAACCTGTATAAAGTGCACTTCAATGACATATTGTTCCGAGTGCTCCGACAATTATGTGAATATTGACTATAAGTGTCACCACTCTTCTACAATTCAATATTGCACAGCTGCAACAAATGATCGATGTACTAAATGTAAAGGGTGGCATGCACCTGATGACAGTGGGTCTTTTTGCAAGACTGCAATGCGCTATGATATTATATTTGTGACGAATGTAGCTGTTGTAATATTAATAATTCTTGTTCTAGTAATAGTAGTAGTGTTGTGTTACCAAATTAATCTTCACAACAAAGAAAAGAAAAAGATGCTGAATGTCTGTGTTTATAATATGAAGAAATCAAATGTCCCCATGCAAAATCTTGGTGACTTTTTGTTGAGTAATAAACAAATAATCACATTTGGAGTACTTAATGAAGACAGTTTGATAGAAGTGAATGAAGAGACGCGTGAACTGCTGTGTGTTGGAAATAACACCAATCACACAATAAAAGTCCAATTCAGTGTTATCGACAATTGCGACCAATTTTTGATACGAACTGAGCCAACTTTAGTTACTCTTAAAAAGGGAATAGCGTGTGAATTTGAGATCTTTATTAAACCAGTTTGCACGTGTAATATCCATTCAAATATTGTAGCCATCGCACTCGACTTGGAAACAGGAAAACAAATTGATGAAAAAATAGAAGTAAGTGCTGTGACAAAAATGACGACGCGACTGGACTACACCGAGTTGATAGAAGCCAAGAAACTTGGTGAAGGTTCATTTGGGGTTGTTTACTTGGGGGAGTTCAGAGGTGACAAAGTTGCTATCAAAAAGATGAAACAATCTTCTGATGATAAATCAAGTAAAAAAGAATTTGAAGATGAAGTTTCTATGTTAGACAAATTTAGAAGTGAATATATCGTCCACTTCTATGGCGCCGTGTTCATACCAAACAAAGTGTGTTTGGTCACCGAATTTGCTCAATTTGGAAGTCTACAAGATTTGATAAATAATAAAACTTCAAGTGAAATTGACATGAAAAAACGACTCAAATTCATGTTAGATGTTGCTATGGGCATTATGTATTTACATGAGAATGGAATCTTACACAGAGATATTAAGCCAGACAACGCTTTAATATTTTCATTGAATGCATCAGAAAAAGTGAATGCAAAATTGACTGATTTTGGATCGTCAAGAAATATTAATATGATGATGACAAACATGACATTCACTAAAGGTGTTGGAACACCAACTTACATGGCTCCTGAAGTTTTAAAACAAGAAAAGTATAAAAAACCAGCTGACATCTATTCATTTGCAATGACTATGTATGAATGCTTTGCTTGGAGAATTGCGTATAGTGATGTTGAATTCAAATTTCCATGGACAATAGCCGAGTTTGTTTCATTAGGAAAGCGTCTCGAGAAGCCAGATTATGTTGATGTAAAAATGTACAATATCATTGTGTTGTGTTGGTCACAACATCCACTTGAAAGACTAAAAATAGAAGAAGTTGTTTCAATGGTTCGTGAACAATTTTAATTGATTAATAAACTTGATTTGGTTTTTGGTAATATATTTTTATTTTATCATGTTTTAGGGATTCATGAGGATTGTTAATTTAGTGTAGTCGAAACCGATTCCGGAATCGGCTTTTCTTGAAACATTTGGGAAATATTTTTGATTCCCGAATCAGAAGTTTCAGGAATCAATAAAAAAATATTTGGGGAATTTTATTTTTTTTATCAAATTCCCGAACCGATTCCGGAATCAAAAAATATTCGGGAATATTTTTAACCTCGGTTCGGGAACATCCTGATTCCCAAACTTAAAATTGGTGTGTTCCCGAACCAATAAGTTCCCGAACACACAAGTTCCCGAACTTCATAAAAAAAATATTCCCAAACTTTTGATTCCGGAACATGACGGTTCCCGAACCGATTCCGGAATCACCAGTATTATATTAAAAATTTATTAATAAGCAAACTAAAAAAATAACAACTTTGTTTTAATATTAAAAATGATCGATTTGTATAATAATATCTTTGTAAGTGTTTTATCCATTTGTATCACTATTCAACAAGAAATCAATTTTTATATTATATTGGATATAAGTATGTAAGTTTTAATTCCGTGTTAAAATTGTTCATTGCAATAATAATTATTTTTTGATTTAATTTATAATCAGTGTTATTACATGTATTTACATTACAAAAAAACATGTTGTATTATTGTTGTTTATTTTAATGAGAATTTAGTATTTACAAAGAAACATTTTAATCAAAATGTTATAATACCATTATAACAAGTTGTTTTTAAATAGAGTTTTTGCAATTATTTATAATAATTTTCAATGTAGTTGAAATGCATTATTTGTATTTTTATTGTAGATAACTTTAAAAACCCAACTTTACTTGATAAAAATCATCATAAAATAATCATCATTTGTATATATATTTACAGATGGACAAAAAACATAATCATTTTTCAATTACTTCGACTTGATTTTCTTGATTTCAATTATATTAATATAATTAAATGTACTGTACTGTTAACTATGAATGCTGAATATACCCATTTGATACTTTTTTGTTCGAAGGGGTAATAAGTATTAAACTTCCTTTGTTTTAATATTAATAACTATTAGAACAGTATAAAGTTGTATTAATATAGAAGTGTTTTTTATCCAACCCGTATCAACAAAAGTTTTCAATAACAATGTTGATATTGGTGTTATTAAACATTTAAATTATGTCCGTTTTGTGATTATTATAATTAAAACAAATTGTTATAAAATTTCACAAATTATATTCAATGATCAAGAATTTGTTTATAATAAACTTGTTCTATTTAACAGAAAAACAAATAGAGAATTATATTTATTGTAATACATCTGTTTTTAAATTAATACGTTTAAAATTGTGTTTGTATATTGACATCTTTGTTGTTTGAATAGTTTAAAATAATATAATCAAAAGCCAAAAAAATAAAAAAGTCACCTGTAAAAGTCCAACAATTAAATAAATATAGAATGAACATTTAATTATATACATTTATTTTCAATATATAACAGGTTAAACAAAAATATAATATGTAATTTGAATATTTATTTTGCTATTTAAATCTAACTCAACAATTTTTAATAAAATATAAATATTTGGAATTTTTGCACAATAAAGTAGAAGATGCACTTTTTAAATTTAAAAAAATTCCACATTTTGTATATTTAAAACAATACAAATTTTAAATGATTGTCAAATGATTATTTAAAGTAATATATTTCAATGACTTCACATAGTCAATAATGTTTATAAATAAATACAAATTAATGAATTTTAATTCATAATAGAATTTAAATTACTTATTATATTCCCAAATAAATATCTTATTTAAATATCATGTTAACTTACAAGTAAGTAACTGTTTTGTGTTTACAAACAAAAAAGATTATTTCAACTTATTTTAAACAAGTGTAAGCTTATTTTTGTCAAATTGTTGATATTAAGCAGTTATCCTCCATTGAATTATTATTATGTATTTATTTAAACGGTTGTTGTTTTCACTTTTTTTTTAATTTAAAGTGTGAGCTAATTTTTTGGAACATAAGATATCGATTATATTAAAAACAATTCTTTAAAATCACAAGTTGATTAATTTCTTTGTTAAACAAACATCTGTCGTTTACACGAAATCAAAAACATAATATGTAACACCCAATAAATGTTACAGACTGATTCTGTAAATTATATTATAATAATAATACAAATCAAATTAACACGAAGTTATTTAATTGATAATAGTTGAAATTTATCAAATAAAAAATAGTTGTTATGGGTTTAAAGAAATTTACTCAGAATTACTAATTTAACAAAATAAAAACGTTCACATTTCATTGATATTTACAATCAAATTTAAAACTAAAAAATGAATGTCTATTTAAATTATTTTTAATTTCAGCAATGTAATAATAATGATTTATCTAAATAATTATTAAATTTGATTATTTATTATTTATTGTTTGAAATTTTTTATTATGTTTTATTTAAAATAATACATTTAATGTCATTATTGTAACATTTAAAATTCAAACAAACAAACTTCTTTGTTTTTATTGTGTAACCAAGTTGTTTCTACATTTATTGTTTAAAATAACATAGTTTTTGTTAAAATGCTACCATTTAAATATTAAACAATTTTATAATATTATAAAATCAAATAATAATAAATAATAACTTTATAAAGTAATAACAAAGTTACCTTTTTACCAAAATAATTTATTAAATATTATTTTTAATACAGTAAAACCTCCCAAGAGCGGTACCTCTGATAAGTGGGTTCTTTCAAGAAAGGGCATTTTAAGATTGAAACTTAAAATATAGTTCTTTATCGAAAGGTTTTTAAAGTTTGATTGGATAAAAATGCCTGCTCTTGAGAGAACAAGTATACCACACTTTCCCATTCTTGAGAGGTTTTACTTAATATAGAAGTCAGAATGTTAAAAAATATAATTTATTTGAATGTTTGTTTAAATTAATTTAAGATGATATTTTATACAATTCACTATAAACTGTTATGCTAAAAGACGTAATACAAATTTAAAAATGTATCATTAAAGGTGTTTAGACATGCACAACAAACCAATGTTTAAAATGGTCAATTTTTAGAATTGTTTGATTGAATTTTTATAATAATTAATTACTATTTTTGATATTTTAAATAAAATAAATAATTAAAAAGCAAAATACAAACATATATATATCTTTTATTTTTTGAAATTATAAAAAGAATGATTTGACATCATAATTTATAATACTTAATAATGCTATTAAAGGTTTCTTGAATATATTTTTATATTAGCTTTTTTAAAACCAGTTTAATATTTATGACAATATAAGTCTTTTATCAAATGATATCATTGTCATTTTATTTTAATAATTTTTTGATTTTTTTAATTATTCAAAAAATAAAAGTAAAAATTAAACAAAACTTCTACCGATTCATTCATTTTTTGTATATACAAAAACGATAATGCAACTTTTTATATAAAAATATATATTAACATTAAAATGTATTATTTGTTTTTGTACTATTTTTTGTCAACAGAATTATCAATTATGTAACAAACTTTGGATTATTATTTAAACCATATTTTCAAATTATTTAAAATTACATCAATAATATTAAACAATTGTCAAAAACACAACTAATATTCTCAATATTTTTACTTTTACTATATTTAAGTATATTTGTTTTTAAAATAAGATTTTATTATAATTATAACACTACAAACAATTTCAAAACATAGAAAAAAATATAATTTGTTCCATTAATATTAAATATTTAAAATTACAAATGAAATAATTCATATAATTGTCATTTGTTAATTAATAGTCATTATATTAATTAAACATTTCGTTGTTCAGACAAATAAAGTTTGATTATTTATTATTTAAATGAATATAATTTAAGTCCTTAATTAAAAATGCATGTTCTGTTTAATATAAATGTAAAATATTAATTTATTAAAATTTTTAAAAATATAATAACATAACATAAAAGAGTTGAACCAAAAAATAATAATAAATGGTAAATTCAGAGATAATCAGAATTTTGATTTATTCCATGTTTTGTTCCAAATAAGAATCAAGATTTTCATCTTTTGTAAAAGTGTGAATAAATGCCATGTAACATAGACTTGTGGGTGATATTTTGTTTCTTCTGTTACGCAGATAATTACCAGCCAATGAAAACAACCTCTCAGAAGGAGTACTTGAACACAAAATAGTAGAGTATTTAATGGCGATACGAGACAAATCACTCCATTCTTTTTTGTGATTAATCCAAAAGCTGGTAAAGGGTTCTTTGTAATCATGAGTCAGAGCAGTTCTTTCGTAAGAAGATAACTGACCTTCAAGTCCAGTCTCATATTCATTAACATAAGTTGAATATTGGCTAAAACGATCGGTTGGATGCGAGGCAATAACAGTTTCAGACGTGTCAGAAATGGTTGGTTGTTGAGTTGTTTCTACTATCATATTTTCTTCGAATTTTTTGGTAATGAACTCTTTGGCTATCATTTTATCTTCTGGTTGAAACATTCGGTACTTTATTGCTGGGTTCAAATAGGTTGCAACCTATTATATTGGAGTCCTTTCTGATATCATACCTTCCCTTTTCAAAATACCTTGACACTGATTTGATGAGATTTTCTACGAACAGTCTTGACACTTTGTTGACGTCTATCATTGGTTTTAACTTTTCCACAATGAT